CAGTTCTCTCCTGGTACCAGTAATGTCTTCCTGGAGCCACTCAGCCCCTCTGGCTGAGAACCCTGGGTGACTTTGAGGCCACCTAACACCGTGGTATTGCCTCACAATGCCACAATATATATATATATAAATATAAATATATAAATATACACACACACACACACACACACACACACACAGATATCCAATCACTGCTTCAATATTCAGCACTGATGCACCTGAACAGAATGTGCACTAATACTGTGCAAAATGACAGTGTCCCCAAAAAACTTTGGTGCTAACAGACATCTCCAGCATATTATAAGTCAATTTTTTATCAAACACAAAGTAAAACTTGTCAAATTACATTGACTATGCAGTTTGAGCTTGCTGAGAAGTCTTAAAGAGGTTCTCCATGATAGGTTAATATTTTTGAATACCAGTAAAGATAAGCATTTCCTTTAATGCAAGTTTCATCCTTACTGTGCAATGCTTACCTGAGTACAAAGGTTACTCCATTACCCCGTCATAAATCAGGTTAGTTGTTAGGGAATTTGCTGCATAGCAACAGCATCCTCACTAATGTAAGAGGGCACACAAAAGTTGAATGGCTTAACCATGAATTTTCCCAAGCTGTAGATTAGCTGGTTTGAGACAAGGCTTATGGAGCATGCATTGCTCAGCCAACTCCACTGATCCGAGAGTTTCCTTATCTTCCATAGGGTAAGCGTCATGCAACTGGGGGTAAAATTACCAATGGTGGAAATGCTTTGCTTTACTACATGACATTTTAATATGCAACATATATTTTGAGTTTAAGTTCTCTGCTACGGTATGGAATCCTAACACTACTGGTGTACAATGCTGTGGTTTTGGAGGACAGACTAGTGGATACTTTGTGCATGGTCTCTTACAACTATAGTTACTCCCTTTTTATGACAATAAAAGCATACAAGCTGCCATTTTATTATGCTGCATCAATCAAAACCTCTGCAGGTACCATGTCTATTGCTGATGACATTACAAAAATAGTGCCCAGTATCTTCTCAACTTAGTTCTGTTGTTTAGTTTTAGCTTGATAATGCAAGTGATGCTAATTAGTTTACAGTAAATGCACTGGACACATTTTTTAGATGAGCCAGTCTTTTTTATGATGTATTATTCTTGATGCCTATGTGAGGCCATCTAATAAAGAAACAGGTTGTTAACCTACAGCTTCAGAGAATAAAATATAGAGCAATATCCTGTGAAGCTCTGAAAAGCTATCGCGTTACCCATCAGATTAATATAAAGCTAAATAATGCAAATTTGGCATGCGTCAGAAATCATAAAAAGAAAGCTAGTGCTTACACAGTGAGAACAGTGGTTCTCATTCATTTCGAAGTCTTTCTTAAACCATTCCCCTTTCTGCCTTTGTGGTTTACAAAACAATCTCATGATACTAGTATTGCGTGTGTCAGTTTCTCAGAAACTCCACCAAGACCAAGCTCTAGGAAACTGGATTGTGCTTTAATTTCTTATTACTCTTATATCTGTTACAACTTTTCCACATAAAATCTCTATAATCATCTCTTGTGAATTACAGGTTTCTTGTCCTGTTTCAGTGTAGATTGCGGAAGATCTAGTACTGTCTTGTGAACAAAATTCTCTGCTCATGTGTGAAAAACCTTTTTTTATGCACAGTTTCCCCAAAGAAGTTTCCAGTATTTAACACCTTTGTGGCTCTTTAAATTACAGGGTGAGCCATGGGTTCTCCGAGTTCTGAACTCATCTCTTCTGCGTAATGACTGGAGGTTTAGGAAGGCTTGTACAACAGATACCCCTTTAATTGCTCTTTCTGTAAGGGAATATGGAACACCATGTGAAGCAATGACCAAGCTTTGCATGAAGACGGACTGGGTTATAGAGATGATCCTGATAAGGGCCAGAGTGATTGATACAAATTAATGGTTTTAGATATTGTTAGGTCCATCCCCATGAACTAGTCTATATCAGTGCAACTGGGTCCAGTTCCCTAAAATCTTAAATCAGCTAATTACATTCTTGGCACTGGCGAAAGTGACAATGCTGGGGTGGTGCCAGGATCCACAAACGTGACAGCTTACACACTCACTGCTGTCACTTGTAAACAGAAGTTGGCAGAAGAAGTCTTGTACTAATCACTTCCTCTGTGGCCCTGACAGATGATAAGGTATAATGCAGAGCACAACAGAGGTCTTGTACCGGCTTTATGTTTACAGGTGACAGCAGCACTTGGGTGAGCGGTTACAGGCTCACAGCATGTACGGGTCCTGCGCTGAAAAAGGTATTTTATTTTGAGTAAATGCCCCTGCTAGTGCATTAACGCTACTGTACATTCCCTATTCCACACTGCAACACTCCGTGTGACATGCTGTACGTTCACTTTTCCACACCACCTCACTCTGTGTGCCAGGCTGTACATTCCTTATTCCACATCACCTCACTCTGAATGCCATGCTATGTACTCACTATTCTACACCACCTCACTCTATGTGCCATGCTGCATGCTCCCTATTTTTCATGTAGATCTCAAAAGGTCTAAATCTAGTGCAAAGCAGTGGGGAGTGCAAGGGAAGTGAGCATTTTGGCTAGCACTGGCAAAGTACAGGTTCACCATAAAGGGACACTCCACTGAATGAATTGTTTATAAAAAATACATAATCCTGGCAGTTCATATGTAGACCTGCCTACAAGATATAAGAAGCTGAAGGATGATACACAAAACTGAATTTTGTGGGTTAATCCTGTGTCCTCATAAAGGTTTTAAATGAACAGTAGTGATGAAAAGCAGACACCTAGAGGTCTATGCATGTGTGCTTGCACACATAGAGAAACTGAGATAATAATAAACTTTCCCTAGGTAATTAACAAAAAGTAAAGCAGCATTTAATAGAACAGTATTGATGTTGAAAAGGGATGGGTATCAAAGTAATATTGGGTACATTGGGTTGCCTGTGTCTGGGAAACCACTGCAGAAGGTAGGTAAGTAAATATTTCTGTCCCCAAGTAGATGCCAGAGCGATGGAAAGTCCTCAAAAAAACATAAAAAACGATGGCCATGGGACTAGGGGGTATGGACCCATGGGATTATACCATGGAAGCAATCCAAAAAAATGAGAATCTGAAGGTGTCCCAGAATATGTATATCGTTTCCAACACTTGTTCTTCAGTGGTGTATAAAATGCTGAGTTACATGAGATCAGTCATCTAAAATGGTCCATGTGGGAGGAAGCTAATTTTTGTGTCCCCTATCGTCCTATAAGACAGCTTATCATAGAAGTTGGGGGAGGCCCAAGCTCTGGGCTACAGGTGCTGATTGAGATTTGCATAACAGGGCACACTGGCTCTCAAAGTTCCCAAAGGTGCACTGCAAAAGTATGTGAGCAAGCATGATGTAGATGCATTTAAGTTTCAAATCTCAATATCCCCCGCCCATTTAGATGT